TTTTTTTCACTAACATAAGCAATGAAATCAACAGTTTTCACGATTTGTACAATAGTTTGGTTTGCAAAACATCCCTATATATATATATATATATACACACACACACACACATATACAATCAGATTCGGGGGGAAAATGGCAAAAAGATGAAAAACTGTGTAACACTGTGTTAACCGTTCACCTGGATGGTATGCACATATGCATACTATTCATTTTAAGCAATTTTTCCGGTATGCACATATGAATATTGGTAATTGAACACTTGTTTTATACTAATTAGTCAATAAAAAAAGATAACTTAATTATTTTTATTATTCTTTATAATTTGTTTTTATAAATTATTTACAATAGATGAAATTTAATTCCATTTCAATTCTACAAACCAAACACACCAATGATATCAAACCTCCCAATTTCAAATCCTCCTAAATCCAAATTTTTACACGAAATCCAAATCCCTCAAAAGCATTCCATCAAACCAAATGGACCCTAAAATGTTAGGGAAATCTGAGTTTTGTGGTTAGTATAGACTTGGATACATTAATGGATCAAGAATTGGAAATCACTTTCCAAATAATATATGTGTCGCCCTTAGATATGCCTTGGGTTAACATGAAATTAGTATTGTGATAATCCAAAAATTTTCATAAACGAATTAAGGCATAAACTCGTATATTTATATTCACTAGATCAACCGTTTTTGTATTTATAAGAGAGATGCTAGTTACGAGCGATTTGGTAGTTAATATGTAACTACATAGCCGCTTGTGGATTGGATTGGGTTGTAATAAAACAGACCTTAACAGACAAAAACAAATGAATAGTGATGCAAGTATATATACCTCTAAACATTATTGTTTTTTCACAAGTAATAAAATGGTAAGACTCAACTATTGTTTAACAGGGAAAGTAAGCTTAGAAATCTCAAGAAAGTCAAACTTAGAGAAGTCAACTTCAGAGGACAAATTCGAAGAAAAATATTTGTAAGTGAGCTTTTGAACTAACGGTAGACAAATAAGTTGTAAATAAATGGGTGCTGCAATATAGTTCAAATAAAGGTAGTGTTGCAACAGTAGATCTAGTAGCTTAGAAATTGATATTTAACATCCAACCATCAATTAAGAGTCACTCGGGTAGAGGTTTTGACGAGCACTCCTCCACATATCTCAAGTGTCATGCATGTGATATGGGTACGCTTCATGTCTCTCTTCTTAAGTTGCATGGGTTAGGAATAAATATTCATTTTTGAGCATCTTAAAAATGTTATTTCCATGTCATTCGAGTGGGGTGTGTCAAATGGCTTGAACCCTCAAGAACATCACACTTTAACACTTTTAGAAAGTGGCCAATTCTGAAGAAGATGTATGAACAATATAAACTTGAACAAAAAAATCAGAGTAAACATCAATTCAAGAGCAATATGCACTTCATGTAGCTTTTAGAACTCAACTTCCTTTTACACCCAAGCAAGGGATTAGCCTATCATCGTTTGGTTTGATTTCTTTTTAAAAATGATTCATTTGAATGAGAACAAGTAACCAAAAGTACTCGAAGAAAACTATCTCAACAAAGCACTTAGATGAATAAATTCAATAAATTCACCAAGTAGAAATAAAATTAACAGAAGTACTTAAGAGCAATTCGTGAGAAAGAGCAAGAGACAAGAACATCCACAACTTTCCATATATTCAATTGAGCTTGATTAAAAGTTTGAACAAAAGAAACTATTATAAGAGACTTGCAAACTTAACTCTAGAAATCAATCAAAGTATCGAGCACTGGATTACCAAAAGCTTAGAATACTTGAGAGCATATGACAATTACTGGAAGTTACCAACTAGAAAGCGAGAAAGTGTATGAGGTATCCGAAAGCATAAACTAGAAGGCATGCCTAAAACCCATGCCAAAGGATCCCTGAAATACTAAAGGAAAGTAGGTGACAAAAGAGGTTTAAGGATAAAAAGGAAGCAAAAGTCGTTATCATGTTTGACTAAGTACACCAAGTGTACTACTAATCTTGGATCCAAAGTAATTTATAATCTCTATAAATCTTCTAACTTTAAGCTCATGGGAAACTTGAAAAAGAAATCTTCCAAGAATGTCATGACCAAAATATTTCCTTTGAAGTCCATCAGTTTTGTCATACATGCTACAGCATGACTTTCATCCTGCTGTCGCATCAATCTGCAGAAAAAAGTCTAAAACACCACAAAGAGGCCCAAAAGCATTAAATTGTCTATCAGGTTAATAGGTGTTAATTCACTAACCATATTACATCATTTTCCTTTGTTTTATTTACCCATTAGTGTCTAAATTGAGTCATTTAAGTCATATTATGTGATTTTTGAATTTCACATGAATTAATACTATTATATCATAAATCTTATGTTATTTGTTAATTATGTAGATTTTTGAAGTTTCTAGCCAATCCTATAGCAGTCCATAGGAGTCTTTATTGGATTGGTGTTCTAGCAGTCCTGTAGAAACATGCAATAGACCGCATCATTACTTCTAGGCCAAAACTTTGGGTTTACGCTTTTGGCTGCAGATTTGAAGACATGGGCCATGGGATAGCTTATGATTTAAGTTTCTTCTTGTACTAATGACCTACTTTTCCTTACAAGCCTTGCCTTTGCTATAAATAGGAGTTGTTGTTAGCTTAAAAAAACACAATTAACCTTTGGGTTTAATTTAGCTTTTGATTACTATTGCTTTCTAGCTTTCGACTTTCTTGCTTAACAAGAACTGAAAATATTGAAGTTAATTTGCTACATTGTTCTCATTCTCAAGTTTAATCCAAGTTCTAGTATTCTAATGTTCATCTCCTTCTTGTTTACTTTCGATTCTCATAAGATTTCTCAATTTTCGTTACAAATTGGAATTAATTGATCATTGTTAATGTAACACCCTCATTTTTTTTGAGAATGTCACGTAATCTGAAGCAATTCTTAAATACATACTCCAAAAGACGGCTAACATAAAACCGTTTGAACTGTTTACAGCGGAGGTCCTTGGACCGTTCAAAATTTTACTTAAGTTCTAACCCACCTCATACAGGGTTAAGTTACAAAGATCAACACAACGTCAAAAGACTAAACATAAGAAGATAAGTAGCGGCTCTCTAAGCGTGTCCTTTGCTCTTATCCAATCTCGAACTACCTGGCCCTGAGATGCATACTATAGTCAGCTTATAAAGCTCAGTGAGTTCMTGGTTTGCGTGAGTAAAGATCATTTCACATCATACATATCATCTTGTAAACTTTGTACCGAAAGTATGCATTTTCTAAAAAACATGCAACACTGAAATAACAGAGATCTCATAACTTATCTGTCGGGTGTGAGTCATTTAGTCACAAACACGCCCTGGGTTGATACTTCAATCTTAATTGATCACCCACTTGTCCGGGTAGTGTTTTATACTGGTCGTGACTTTCTGGTCAAATGCTCACCCGCTAAAACTGATCATAAAACTTTYATATGATATAACATGCTAGAGTTATTTGAAAACTGCTTAAACACRTAGCATGCAACTGATCATAAAATGACATACATGTAAAATATATCATGTATGTAAACTGAGACATCATGTATATGTACCCGTTATCATATAAATCATATAATGCTCGAAAATAAATTTATACATAGGTATGCATCCCATTGTAAGTCTCATGAAGACTCACCTGATATCGTAGTTTGCTTAACTAACGCAGCTGACTGGTAACCTACAATTTATAATAGTAAATAACATATGAATGATTAATTTCTCCCAAAGGCTAGCATAAAAGTCAACTTACGGTCAACTACGTTGGCTAGGGTCAACCTTGGTCAACTATGCTTAAGAACGTTCTTCACATCAACAAAATCATAGGAACGTGAGTTCCGACCCAAGGTGTATCGTTTAGCTATATACCTTAAAACGACTAAGTCTGAAAGAAGACCAGAGCCTCTGTAGACGGCCAGAGCCTCTGGTTGCTTTGACAGAGCCTCTGGACCCTTAAGTCCTTTAGGACCAGAGCCTCTGTGGTTGTATTGACAGAGCCCCTCTGCTTGCATACCATACTTAGAAAATAATTCCACATCAAGGACAAAGCCCCTCTGTGGTCTCTTTTCCAGAGCTTCTGGCCTCACGACCAGAGCCCCTGGTTGAACCATATTTAGAAAATAATACACACCAAGGCCAGAGCCCCTCTGTGGTCTCTCTTCCAGAGCTTCTGGTCTCACGACCAGAGCCTCTGGTTGAATCATACTTAGCAAATATATTTCACCAAGGACCAGAGCCCCTCTGGTCTCTCTTCCAGAGCCTCTGGCTTCACGACTAGAGCCTCTGGTTGAACTAACCTATACTTAGAAAATAATCCCACCAAGACCAGAGCCTCTGTGACTTAACTAATCATTTCAACATTAAGGGCCAGAGCCCCTCTGTGTGTTCTTCCAGAGCTTCTGTCTAACGCCAGATATAGAGCTCTCATGTAGAGCTTCTGTATAACGTAACTTGCTACAAAGCTCTCATGCAGAGCTTTTGGCTAACATAACTTGATACAAAGCTCTCATGCAGAGCTTCTGTATAATATAACTTGATACAGAGCTCTCATGCAGAGCTTCTGTATAANAGCTCTCATGCAGAGCTTCTGTATAATATAACTTGATACAGAGCTCTCATGCAGAGCTTCTGTATAACATTCTTTTAAGTGGTTTTTAACAGAATGCGATACAGCGTGTTTTCCAAAAGAAATCTAAACTTTGAAATTGAATCCTAAAACACGAAGTTGGAACGTGAGCCTTCTAGAGTTCTACACAGGGCCAAATGCACAGCTAAACATTGTAACAACATAAATTTTGGTTGAGTATTAACTCTAAACGACGGGAAAGCAGGGGGGGTTCTTGCCTGGTCTTGAACTCCTGTTTTTTTTCTCTCTCAAGCTCAATGATTTCCTTCTTCTTTTCAAATGAATAGCGACCCTAACCAGTGCCCATAATTTATACTCAAACAATTTGGCCTATTAGTTGACCAAATCGGCCGAATCCCGAGTTTTAGGCTGTGAAACTGCTTTCTCCACAGCCTGCAAACAGGCAGGTCACAGTTTCCTTATATGAACCAGGCACCGCCTGTTCCTCTTCTGCCTCTCCCAATAGTTGACAGCAGGCTCCTCCCTCAAAATAGAGCCTTCATCCCTCGACCGAGAATAAGAAAAGGAATTTAACTTATTTTAAATTTCTAATTTTTATTTAAACTATATATATATATATAATAGACATAATAATGGAGATACATTATTTATTCCTCGAAATTATGGGTTTTATAGTTAAAATACATTGGATATATATAGGGGCCTAATCAAATGAAAACTAAATAGTTTGAAGTAACCGTGAGATCCAATGTGAACCAATCATTTAAGATAATAAATGTTATTTACTAAAATAAAATAAAGGGTAAATAGGTAATTTGACAATTTGGTTTTTTTAATAACATATCAAATCATTAATTATTCAATTCACACTTACCTAATTGATTTGAATTTACCATAAATAGTTGGTTTATTTATGGATGTTTCCCTCTATTACTCCACCAGTTTTTCTTCTGGCTAAAACATCCATTAGGGTGGTCTGACCATCACCACTTACCCCCACCAATGCAGTTAGCACACCGGGCCTAAATGCACCAATAACATCCACCAACAACTGCAATCTATCTTCTGCAACCCCTTGCTGCTTAAATAACTAAGAAGTATATGCTTAAGGTTTTATGTAATAAGGTTTAGTAACACAGTAGCAATATAGTTAGTGTGGGTGGTATCATAGTGGTACCCCAATTGGTACTACATTGGGTATCACATTGCATCTTGTATGTATTTTGGATATCACAACGTGGATGATCTGTATGTATTCCTTAAATTTACATTATGATTTGATTTTGTTTTTAAGGTTTGGATTGATATCACAATGGTATCACAGTAATATCAGTGTGTATCACAATGATTACTTGGTAACGGTCGGAATAATGTTCATCGAAGGTTGGAGATCTGAGGTCGGAGAAAGGTGAGAGGTGAGAAGAGAGAGAAGAGAGGAGAGAGGAGAGAGGAGAGAGGAGTTTTTAGAAATACCTAAAATGCCCTCTAATTATAATTTTAACTCAAATTACCAAAATTACTAATTTCCTAATTTATTCGTTGATATGTGGTTGAGATTAGATCTCACAGTTACCACAAACTAATCAGTTTTCCGTTGAATAGGTCCATATATATATATATATATATATATATACGTATGTACATAAAGTGGAAACTACAAGTACATCATGGATATTCACATGTGAATATTGTTAATAGTTAGCATAAATTGAAAAATTAACAATTTTTTTTAAATAACGCAACTAAATGTTTATTTACATGTGAATAAACATGTGAGCAAAAATGTGTATCATATGTGAATGAACATGTAAGAAACAATGTGTATCAATATCACAATGGTGGTGCTAGATTGGTTTGAGGCCCAGGGGGATGAGGATGGCATTCCATCTTCCCCCGGTTTGATTTATGACCCTACACTTGAGGACACCATATTTATGTAGGATGCATGCTTAAGCATCTAGGATTTTTCGGGTTGGACGACATGCCTACAACCCTCCCCAATAATGTGTATCGAATGTTGGGTAAGTGGTCAACCTAGTCACAAGGCCAAGGATTGTCGATTCAAGAGGGATCATAAGTCAAGAGGAGTCAAAAGTTTAAACCAAGCTAACAATGTTTAATTCTGAAACTCGTTTTGTTGATGTGGTAGAAGCCAACTTCGTAACTAATGTAGTTGATTGGTGGATTGATATATGTTCCACGAGGTACATACATAACTCCAAATATTTGTTTTCATCCCATGTCAAAGTTAATGATAGTGAACCAATAATGGGGAATTCAATAACCGTAAAAGTCCAAGGGAAAAGGAAGGTGGTACTCAAGCTCATTTCCGAAAAAGAGCTTGAACTCACCAATATGCTACATGTGCAATGTTATGAGCAAGAATCTGATTTTAGGTCCTATGTTGTGCAATAAAGGATATAAACTTGTATTCAAGTAAGATAAATGTGCACTAAAGGTAGTACGTATGTAGGAAAGCACTACCCATGTAAGGGGATCTTCAAATTGTCCATTGCAAATACCATTGATAATGTTGTAAATTAAAATAATGCAGGCTCTAGCATTGTTTCTACGTATATACATGGTTGATTCTCTAGCTTATGGCATTCCCGATCAGGTCATGTCAATTTTCAATCCTTACAAAGGATGATGAACCTTGGCATGTATCTAAGTGTTCCATGAACAAAATGAATAAGTGTGAGACTTGTGTAGAATCGAAGTACAAAAGTCATCCCTACAAATCTGTCAAAAAATCCAACGAAGTACTTGGACTAATTTATACTGATTTGTGTGATTTCAAGTCAACTCCAACTCAAGGGGGAAATAACTACTATATATCCTCTATAGATGATCGCAGTAAATTTTGTTTTATCTACTTGATACATATCAAAGATGAGGCTTTAAATATGTTAAAAATATACAAAGTCGAAGTTGGAATCAACTTGAGAAGAGAATTAAAATCCTAAGGTCTGGTAGATAAGGGAAATATGATTCTCATAACTTTGCTGAATTTTGCTCTTCACATGGTACTATTCATCAAACCACTTCACTTATACCCTTTAGTAGAATGCAGTAGTTAACGAAAAAACAGAACTTTAAAGAACATAATTAACTCAATATCGGTCATTTTAGGGGATCTACACAATCTATGAGAAAACCTCGTCTTACTACAAATACAATTTTAATTAAAATTCCTCATAAAAAGAGCAGTCAACCTCCTATGAGATATGGAAAGCTAAATTACCTTCCTACAAAAAGATGAAAGTGCAGGGTTGCTTGGCCAAAATTCAAGTTCCTCTACCAAAAAGAACTAAGCTAGGACCAAAGACTATAGATTGCATCTACATTGACCCAGCCAAAAACAGTATAACCTATAGATTTTGGTTTATAAGTCCTATGTAGAGGACATAAATACAAATACTATAATTGAATCTGTGAAATTGGAATTTTTGGAAACACATTCCCATATAAAGATAAGGAGAAAACTATCTCCAATCTAAAGAAAAGAGAGAATGAAGATGACACCTCATTATGAGCTAACTCAAAGTACAAATCCAAATGGTGAAAGTACTTCTCAGGTTCAAAAAGACTTAGAACCTTAAAGAAGTAAACATGGCAAGTTGGCCAAAGACTTTGAACCAGACTATGTGACCTTTAATGTAGAATGAGAACATCTAACTTGTAAGGCAACGATGGATTCTTCAGAAGCTCCTTATTGGAAAGAGACAATATAAAGAGAATAGATACCATAAATAATACTTGGAAATTGATTGATCTCCCTTTGGAAAATAACCCAATAGGTCATAATTGGATTTTTAATAGAAAACTTAGACCCAGTGATAAAAGTACAAGGCTCAGTTATTAGCCAAAGAGTATCGTAAAAAAAGGTCAAGATTTCATTGATACATATTCACAGGTTACTAGGATAACCTCAATAATAACTTTGTTGACAATAACCATGATTCACAATGTTGGAGATACACCAAATGGATGTGAAACTATGTTCTTAAATGGTGAACTGGATGAAAAGGTTTATATGTACCAACCTGAAGGGCTTGTTGTTAATGGTCAAGAAAAAAAAGTCTATAAACTAGTTAAGTTCCTATATGGACTTAAGCAAGATCCAAAATAATAAAGTTTGTTAACATACTCTTATCACAATGTTTTCAGATTAACAAATGTGATAAATGTGTATATGTAAAACAATATAAGTATGCTTACGCCATAGTATGTTTGTATGTTGATGATATGATCATCATGAAGACTAATATGGATGTAAATAATCAAACCAAAAAATTGCTACGTTCCTCATTTGATATGTAGGAGAGTAGCCGATGTGATACTTGGTATTAAAGCTAAACGAACTTTTGAAGGATACATCCTCACATAATCCCACTATATAGAGAAGGTCCTTAGAAAATTTGGACACTATGATGACCGATCGGTCATTACTTCATATGATACTTCAAGTCAATTTAAGAAGAATCAATGAGACAATGTATCTCAGTTAGAGTATACTCAAGTACTTGGAAACTTGATGTATATCACGAACTGTGCACGACCAGATCTAGCATATATACAGTGAGTAGACTAAGTCGTTACTCATGTAATCCGAGTATAGATTGTTGGTATGCTCTATTTAAAGTGTTCCAATATCTTAAACAAGCAATATATTATGGACTATACACTATACTAAATATTGTGATGCCAATTGGATTTCCGATAACTTAGATATAAATTCGCAAGTAGCTACGTCTTTACCTTTTTAAGGGATCATCAATATCATGAAAATTGTCTAAGCAAACAGTGAATACCCTTTCAACTATGGAAGTTGAGTTTGTTGCATTAGACAAAACTACTGAAGAATCCGAATGACTTAAAAGTTTCTTAGAAGATATTTATGTATGGCCTAAACCTGTCACAACCATTTGTATACCTTGTGATAATATGATTGCTCTTACTAGAGTAGAGAATCAAATTTATAATGGAAAATAAGTCATATGAGGCATTGTTATAACATAATAAAGGACTTGTTGAAGAATGAAATCATTTCCTTTTATTATATAGAGTCAAGAAAAAATCTAACAGATCCTTTGACAAAAGGCCTAAATAGAGAGCAATTTATCTTTACATTGAGGGTAATGGGCTTAAGGCCAACACAATATGTCAATACTTGGCGAAAACCTAACCTCGCAACATTGGAGATCCCATAGTCTAGGTTCAATAGGAAAACTAGTTGAGGAAGGCTGAAGCAGGAACAAACACAAAGGTATGTCTATTCCTATGATGTCCTCAATTGTGTTCTTTCGTTGATATTTAAGGGTTGAATTCCAATTCCTAATAATGCTAATAACTTTTACAGTGGAACGTCATGGAATGTTGTTGACTGGCATTACAAGTGTGAGATTGATGTATGGTCGCATCTATGGAGAGAGATATGGCTACATTCTCTAAAAGTATCATGAAGAAAATATGTTGTTCACGACCGAAATAAACAACTATAAGAATTGATATATATATATATATATATATATATGATACATGTTTTCTAGATTTACTATAAAATGTGGTTAGTTCAAAACTATGTTCACTACCCCCACAGAGTAGATCTGGTTTGTACTCACAAAGAAAGGTTTAAGTCCAAAAGGCATCTCAAATAGCAAAAGAAGCTTGTAGTTTATGTTATCTTGCTTTTTATTTAAATGTTGGGTATTGTAGGAGTTTGAATAATAAATCTGGAGCATTATTGGGTATTTTACTAATCACTAGTCTCAAATAGGAAAGACTTTAGAAACTTTTATGGGTTTTTAAGACTAAACTCACATTAATTATCAAAATGGAGAAAAGCCTGAGTAATTGAGTTTGCATTGGGCTTCAGTGGGGAGCATGGTATATGTTTAATGATCAAATAGTGAGCCTTAGACCTTCAAATCAAATTTTTAGACAAACCAAAACAATGGACCATCGCAAGTTCCCGTTCAACTTTCCTTACGGCTATACTTGCGTTACTCTCTGTTTGACGATCTTGAAGCAATGTCTCCCACGGGTCCCATACGCTATGCGTGCGGTCCAATCAGCCGCCAGTTTCTGGGTGGTTTCTGATAGTTGAATTTGGTTAACAGGAAAAGGTATAAAATACCTTCCCTTTACCGGATTCAAGATACATGAAAGTTCTCTCTAAATTATCATTTCCTTCATTGTTATTCTCAAGAACATATTATCAATTTGATGGGATTGAATTGACACGTACCTAGAACGAATAGTTGTATCCTCTGGACAATGTCTGGAACCTAGCACGATTGGGAACGAAATTTCATGTTAGTACACTGTGATTCGCATGCCTCTATTTTGTTTTAATCAACATTTGATTCTAGATTTTTCATGGAAAAGGTACACGGTACTTAGTTTTTTCTCGATTATGTACAAATTTCATAGTATATTTGTCCATTTTATGTTATATGTAGACTGGTCACCACACCTTTAGCGAGGATTGAACCATTGACCTCATGGGAGGCCAAAAGGTCCGAAAACTGCAGAGACTAAGGCCTTTTGGTTGTTGTCAGCTGTTTTTATCACGAATCTACCTAGGTAGGAACCGAGAATTTTCTCGAGGTTATTATTCAGACAAGTTCATCAATTCGGTAACACGAATTTGAAATGGGAAACATTTGGCTAATGCTATGTTATTTAAAAATTTATTTCACTTAGTAGATACATTTCACAAGAAACAGGGGTTTTAGCGACGATTTTCATGCTTAGTCCATTTATCATCTCAAAAGGTTTATACCTATGACATATTGCCGCTACAATTAATGGCTTAAATATGTCATCGCTAAAGGCGCATCGCTAAACTGACTTTTCTCACATCGCAGGAGATGTAAAATTTTATTACAAACTGAGATTGAAAGAAAAAGAAAACCTGAAATTTATCGAGTCCTATGTCATATAAGTAGGATTGGTCTTTTATCATTTGTTTTAGGTTTCCTTGTAAATCTCGTGGTACACTTACGTCTCTCTAATTTGATGCATTAATATGTTGTTTCTCATCGTGTTTGGATGTTTGTAGACGATATGCATGTTTAGAACACAACATTCTGCTTATTTGTTCTCGTAGTTGCTTTATTAATTTTATTGCCGTGAGTGTTTGGATCAGTATGTCCGCACCTCAACTAATCCCATGAAGCTCTAGAGACCAGCTAGGAAAATCCCCATTAGCTTTAGTGGGACTCGAACAGGTTGCCTTTGGGGAGAAGTCCTAAAGACCCAAGCTTTGTTGCCGGTAGAGGTAACCCCTCAAGTGTTAGAATTTCTGGTTTTCGATTGCTTGGAATCCACTAAAAGTCGTGTATCACTTTCAGATTGAACTATTTCGATGGTACAATCGAAATCTCAATCGGATAAAATTCAGTGGTTGACAGAACAGAGAATCCAAATCGTTATGAATATGTGTACCTCTCAAGACGAAATGACTAATTCAAAAATTGAATACGGAAACTGTCAAAACGACAGTTTTTGAACCCTAAACTGGGTTTAAAAAACCGGGGTTTAAAATTTAAAATTCGGATTTTTGAAGCATTTTCCACAAAGCAATATTACCCGAATAAAAAATTTCCAGCTCGACCCCAGCCAGGCTCTGCCCCCTTGGGGCGCTGCCCCCGGACCACCGTCGTTTTAGGGGTTCGCCCCTAAATCAAAATAAACTCAAACAAATGTGTACTGCGCACCTTCCTTACTTGTTCGATATTTATCATGATTACATTGATCAACAAATTAATCTCATTACGCTTCAATGATATTAGTGATACAAATCACCAACATCAAGGTTACATGGAACTCAATCGGTCGTTTGGTTGCATTTTGAGCTAGCCTTTATGTGACTCGAATGTGATCACTAAGTGTATATATCTATTTCATAACGGTGACAAAATCTATCGAAATCATGCTTTCGCTACTCGGTTAAAATGACATAAAGCCTTCGCACCTCATTGCCGATCTATGCCAAAAACATTTCATAATTCTTTTATTGGCAGGGAGTACAAATAACATCTTCATAAATTGATCAAAACAATTATTTTTATAACAAGTAACATAAACTTCAAGCATAAAACTCTCACTCAGACAAAAGAAAACATACAATCATGAACATCATTGTGATGAAACTTAATGAAGGTGGTGCAGAATATCCTTGCTGGTGGTACCATTTTTCTTAGGTTTGTCGAATATGGTATATCTGTAGGTACGAAAAACCATTTCAATTAGGAGCGGAAATTGAAGTGCAGAAAAGAGAAGTACCGGGAAAGTAGAAAGAACGATAAGAGGTATGGATACCCATGGTAAACTCTTGTGCAGCATTAGATACAATGCAGCAGCGAACGAAATCATCATGGTAACTATCGAGAAGAAGAGGCATGCGATTCCAAAAACCAATTTGGTGGGCAACGACACAAGGAAATCATCTTCTGCGTATCGTGCAGTTAGAATTCCTAAGAACATTAGCACCGAAGTGGATGACGTGAAGAGAGAAAGTCCATTTGTGACTGTAAATATCATGAACGGGTTACTGTCGGTGTTTAACATTATGGGTAGGCCATTCAACTCGTTGTTGCCACCGGGTACGGTGAAGGCGGTTGTAAACATGACCGCAGCGATAAGAGTTCCTACGATCATACTTGATCCAGCAGTGTTCTTCATCCATTTTTCACCTTCTTTTGCTAGATCTTTGTGTTCTTCAGTGAATAAAGTGGATGGCTTCCTATTGTTTTCATTCACTTGATCTTTGTATTTGGGTTGTACTAAGCTTTCCACCTCCTACAATAATTGGTTAAAATAAGTCACTATAACGAATTGATTTTTTCTGGAAAAAAGAAATCGATTTTATAAGACGCCAAATATGTTTAAGTGTCATAATAGACTATTTTATAGGATTATAGGATCAAACGATTGTGCGTTCTACGTAAGGTTGTTACACTAATATGATACAACGTTTTTGTGCATCATAACAAGGTTTTAATTAGGACGCTTTTGAAGTAAAGTATCCTATCAGTCTTTTTTTTAATTAACCTAGATATCCAACCAGCTATGCGAGCCGACTAATCTCAGGGCGACTAACTGCTTTGCAGATAGCTCGGAGTCACCGCATTTGAACCTTCGTGGCCACAAGGGGATTTTTATTCCTCCTTGGATTTGAACCTAGGACGTCTTGGTACTTTTGATCTTTGAAACCAAACTCAAACCTATCAGTCTTTTTTATATGACATTATTGTTAGAGTCTGACATTAATATGGGGTTCTATGTATTCTGACATGGTACTAAAGTCAAGGTCTACCACTCCAGGGACTCGACACCTTGGGGCAATGTGTACTCGCCTAGCCCCCTCACCCGTCAAACCCCTCTTAATCCTCTGCACAATCTGTAAAGGGTATTTTTGTAGATTAATTTGGGGTTTCGCATATTCTTACAAACATATCTCTTAAAGCTACGATAAGGAAACAAAAAGGAAATATCATTCCAACATACCTTATACCATTGCAGTTCCCTTTGCATTTGCAAAGCAGCTCCTGAAACACGTTCGAGTTGAGACGGAGGTGAAAGCTTTGCTGCAAGATGTAGAAAATTGTTTCGGAATATATCATGTCGACTCGCTACTATGCTTTTCTTCATCCCCAATCTATAAAAAAGACTGAATATTTTTTCTTGTCGAAGAATGATTGCATGCGAAAAGATTGTTCTTCCCCTTTTGTCTTTCCTCCATATGAACTCGGGATTGAACTTCAATAGTTCGACCACAAACTCGACGATTCCATGTTTAATCGCAATGTGCACAGCTTTGTCGATCTCCATCTTTTCGAGCTGTAAGCTACTCATTTCCTTTATTTCCTTAAAAATGCAACTAAGGAGCTTACTTGCTTCATCATTTACCAACTTTTGATCATGCAAATGCTTGATGTCGGGCACTGCAAGTAAATATAGCAATATCTAAGAGGAAACGCTTCCTTTCATTCATTCAAATGATCACGAAGCACTCCAACAAAATTGGGTTTATAGGACTTCACCAATCTCTAAGCGTCTCAATAAACCGCTTTATAGTACTTAATTTATATGACCGAAAATATAAAGCGTCATATCTAAAGACGTTGTAATAAGTTTGTATGACACTTTTGAGCATCTTAACAAGTTTTTTAGGACATTTTTAATACAAAGCGTCGCATTAGCAACTTTATAGGACACTTTTGAGAAATTGTCTTATAAACTCAATTTTTTATAGGACATTTGTTTTTATAGGACAATTTTTCAAATAGTGTTCTATAAAGTTGATAATGGGACACTTTATATTAAAAGTGTCCTAAAAAACTTATTACGACGTCAAAAAATGTCATATAAACTTATTACAACACCTTTAGATAAAACACTTTATTTTTTGGTCTTATAAAGAGGTCTATTAGGACGCTTAGAAATAGGGAGCGTCCTATAAACCCGATTTTGTTGTAGTGAAGATAAAAATAAAATTGAATTGATAAAACGTTAAAAGTGTCTAAGTATCCGAATAGACTATTTTATATGACGTTAGTTTATAAGACGTTTTTGGACTTCTTAACAAGTATTTTAGGTGATCTAGGAAAATAAGTTTACAGGACACTCTTTTTAAAAAAGTTGTTATATCTTTTACGTGACACTTTTGAGAAGTATCTTGGGATCATATCTTTTGATAGGACACTTGTTTTAATAGAAATATTTTTTTTTTCAAATAATGTCGTATAATTAATAGGACGGTTTATGTAAAAGATGTTCTAAGAAAGTTGTTAACATGCCCAAATAACGTTCTATATACTTATCAGCACACTTTTACATACGACACAAAATTGTTTGGTTGTATAAACTTTGGTCCTATAGAGCAATTTGTTAGTACATTTGAACATTTTTGACGACCTATGCATGAACCCTATTTTGTCGTAGCATGAAGAGAAAGTGTGTGCCCAAACTATGACATACATACCGAGAAATCGTAGCAAGATCCAACCCAACCGATGTCGGAAGCTAGTTTGGTTGCAGAATTCTTCATCACCAGATGAATCAATATTTATTTCATGTTCAAAGACATTTGAGCTCTCGTTTGTTTGGGTCTGAACATCCCATGGAGAATGTATCCACACACCTATTTCAATGTTAAGTCAAGAGTAACCCTTGAAATTGAAATAATAAGGGCATCATTAAAGCCAACACAGATATGTTTATAGGATTGTGTTAAAACGAGAATGTAGCAAAACACAAGAACAGTTAAATCATATATAATTTTACAGTGTGCAAAATCACATACGTTTCCGCACGACTTTGGCCGCGCAGGCCAAGTTGCCCTCATAACGTAGGATTGATCGTGTTCCATAAGCACATGTAATTTAAGTAGAAAATATTTAATTTAGTTGTTATTTGTTCTCGTCCCATACTTCTCCTAGAGGAACAACGGTGGTCCCTACCCCGCAACCACCACTCGACTCACCATCATCGCTTATCGTATCCTATTGTTCTTCATCATGCTGGGAATCCTCCAAATTCTGGAACAAATCCGAGATGTAAAACTTTGATCGTCTCCACGACTGTCGTCAAGGCCGTAGGAACGATAACCGTGGGACTGACAATCGAGACCGAGGACAGACAACAGCAACAGCATCATGGGGTAACACCAACTTCCATCTCACCTTCCTATCCCTCCTTTCCAATCTCAAGCTCACCTTGTATGGTACGACCAACATAGCCCCTCTCCCTATTTCGAAATCCCACCATCCCATGGTCACTCGGCACGACATGGCATCTTCAAACGCGTTCAACGCCTAAATCTTCACACCATCACCTCCCTGTACCCCCAGTCTTGTTTACAAGCTATAAAGGACCCTTGCTGGCAACATGCCATGCAGGATGAACTTAATGCTCTTATTAAAAATGGGACATGGGTGTTTCTCCCAAGGCCCAATGGGGTGAATCTTTTACAGTCTGCATGTGGTTATTCAAAATGAAAGTTTCATGGTGATGGTACTCTCGACTGTTATAAATCCATTTAATGACAAATGGTAAAAGCCAGAGCGGCCAGTGTGACGAGACATTTAGTCCAGTTGTAAAACCCGCCACCATACATAATGTTCTCAGTCTTGCGATGTATTGACATTGTCCCATTCATCAAATTGATGTCAAAAATGTTTTTCTTCATGGCACCCTGCAGGAAATGGTTTTTATGCACTAACCACCGAGTTTTATTGATGCGGACCATCCTGATTACGTATGCCATAACTGCTTATTTTATTTTGATGATATCTATCTCACATCTTCTTCCCAAGCTCTATCGCAATAGGTTATCAAGTCTCTCAATAGTGAATTTGACATAACTGACTTGGGTCCTCTTACTTTCTTGCAATTTCAGCTATTAGTTCCAATCATCCAAATTTGGCTTCTTCCTATATCAAAAAAGCTATGCCACATGCAGAGATTCTTGAGCATGCCAATATGCTCAGTTGCAAAGCATGTCAGACACTTGTAGACATGCTCTCAAAGCTCGACCCTTCTGGCCCACAGTTTATGATCCCATTTTGTATCACAGTCTTACTAGAGCACTGCAATATCTGACATTATCTCGACACGGAATTGCATTATTACATATGTTGTCCAGCTACATACACAGCCTGCGGGAACCTCACATTAATGCCCTATAGCAGATTCTTCGCTATATATGCAGCACTATTGATCATGGGCTCCAACTTTATAACTCCTCTACATCTAAACCTATGGCTTACTTGGATGACGATTGGGGCGGTTGCACCACCCTCCCATTCACCTCTCTGGGTACTGTGTTTTTCTTTTGGCAAAATCTCCACTCTTGGTCATCCAAGCGACAAGTGAAAATCTCGCAATCTAGTGCAGAAGCGGAGTATAAGGGCATTGTCAACGTCGTGGCCGAGAGATGTTGGCTTCAGAACCTCTTCCTTGAACCTTACTCTCTCCCACCAAGGGAACTATTGTATATTGTGGTAGCGTCAGCATTGCCTACCTGTCGACCAACTCGATCCAACATCAACGAACCAAGCACATCAAGATTGACATTCACTACGTCGCAATATGCCAACATCTTCACCAAAGGACTCCCTTCACCCCTCTTCATTGATTTTCACCCAGTTTGAAAGTTCGACCTCAATCTCTCGTTCCAACTGTGGGGTTGTATTAACATGTACAGTTTTGTTGTAATTGTATTTCACCTAGCCCATTATTTTTTATATATTGGTCCAGCCCGTTGTAGTTCTCAATTTATAGTAAAAATGAGAAAGGGAATCTTCATTGCCCAATTCCATCAGGAGCTCTCTCTTGTGCAAATAAATCATACAGGGATTCTATACACTTGTAGTCATCTATACATTTGTAGTCATCTGATGGGTATAGCGAACGCTACAAAGTTCATCTTGTGGCTAAGGGAATTTAACAGAAGTATGGTACGGACTTGAGGAAGCCTTTGCCCCCCGTTGTAGAAATGATTATTATCCGTATTCTGAATGGCGAAATACATGAGGAATTCTACATTCTAAACCCCCTCTTGTGTTCCCCGTCATCATGGAGTAGTTTGCAAGTTCAAGAAAGCTTTATATGGTCTCAAACACACATTCTGGGAATGGTTCGAGTAGTTCTCTATTGTTCTCTTGTCTCTTGGGTTTCTTTCGGGTGAACATGATTCAACTCTCTTCGTCTAGAACACCTCACGCAAGTCGTATCTTGCTTCCCTTGTATGTTGGTGATGTGATTATTACATGGCTACTAATGGTTCTTTGGTACTTTCAGAGTATTGAAGTGGCTTCATCTCCAAATGTTGCCTTTTCTATCAATGTAAATACTGAAATCATTGAGCACGCATATGTGCTCTTTGTGTTTGTAGTGCTACAACATTATGAAATTCAACCTCAGTTTTACAGCAACTTTCACTTTGATTCCAAATCTTTTGGGTTGTCTTCATTCGAATTTGCATGTCAAAAGATATAGAGATCATACTGCCTTGATCATGTATCATTAGATTTTCCTACAATTCTGAAGTTTTTACTAGAAATCTTAAGGAAAGAAACAAGAAGTTAATGTGCTTATATACTCACAGCTATAGATCCAGTGCTTCCAAAACGAAAATTCGCTTCCGCTTGCAAATGCAGAAGGCTTGTGTGCCAATTTATGTAGAGCGTAATCACCATGGCAATCCGCGGTAACTCCTAGCTTCGGGAACTTGTGCAGTAGCATCGAAGCAATATCTAAGGTAGATTTCAGAATACAGAAAATAATTAGTACCATTTTTGGGGGATTCTAAAGATAAGCTAAAATTTCTAAGTATGAATGAAATTTCGCTACAATATATAGGACGCTAAAAATGTTTTAAGTCTACAAAGACTTACGTTTATAGGATCAAACAATTGCGTCTGCTACATAAAAGTGTTACGATAAGTTTGTATAACGTTTTTGGACATATTAACAAGGTTTTTTTCAAGACATTTTTGAAATAAAATCCCATATTAGTTTTTTTTTATTAACCTGGATATCCAACCCGCTATGCGAGCCGACTAATCCTAAGGCGACCACCTGCTTTGCAGATCGGAATCACCGCATTTGAACCTCTGTGGCCACAAGGGGATTTTTATTCCTCCTTGAATTTGAACCTGAGACCTCCTGGTACTTTTGACCTTTGAAGTCAAGCTCAAACCAATCAGGCACCACTCTTGTGGTTCCATATTAGTTTTTTATTAAGACACCTTGGATAAGTAGGCATATGAACGCTAAATGGTATATGTTATATAAGAAAATTTTATATGATCTTTATAGGATGCCTAAAATGTATAAGTGTCCTAAAAAATACATTACATGACTTAAGTTCATTGAGCAAACCAAAAAACATCATATCTAAAAGTGTTACAATAGGTTTATAGGACGCTTTTAGGTGTTTTAACAAGCTTTCTTAGTACGTTTTTATAATAAAGTGTGGTATTAACTATTCTATACGACACTATTTAAAAAAATATCTTATAAAGTGAGAAGTGTAAGAAGGGATCTGGACCCTTGATCACTTTTAATCTTACCCCATCCCATGAATCGTGTTTGATATGAGAATTGATCTGGCACATCTCGATGCATCTCATTAATGTTGATCTTTAATTGGGATTGATTCAAATGTAAAGATCTCTTCTTATCCTTCTCATTATAACTTTTATTTTCACTGGAACCAAACATATATTACATTTGTAATTTGTATATATATGTATATGTGTGTGTATGCCTTTGTTGTCTCATTTTTCCGTCGGTGATTATGACAAATCACCTAGAAAATACGAATGGTTCTAGTGGAATCTGATGTTTTTCAAGAAAATACTAATGGATCACCAGAAAATACATGGTTAATCTGACACTGATTTGAATTATGCACCAACAATTTACCCACCACCTTTTGTGACAGTTTTGTGACCAATAGCCCCTAGCAACTATAGGTTAAAGTCTTCCTTTTAGTGTAATAGGAAATTTCATTTTAAAATGTGTTCTAAAAAAGTTGTTAAAATGCCTAGAAACGTTTATAAACTTATTGTAACGCTTTTAAATATGACGTTTTATAGTTTGGTCCTATAAACCTAAGTTCTATAAAGTATTCTATTAGAACATTTAGACAATCTAGGTGTCCTATAAATCCAATTTTGTTGTAGTGAGTTGTCCTAAAATAAACTTGTTAAAACGCCCAATAACGTTTTATATAAACACTACGACAAAATTGGGTTTATAGAACGTAAACAATGTGGAAGTGTCCCAATAGACTATTTTTATTTTTATAGGACTTAAATTTATAGGATCAAATGATAAAACCTCATATCGAATGGTGTTGTAATAAGTTTGTACGACATCTTTGGACGTCTTAACAAGATATAATTCTAGGACATATTGTAATTCCTTTTTGGCAAGGATTATGAGAAAATGTCTTTATAGAACACTTCTCAAAGTTTTCTAAAAAATAGCTAATATGACACTTTAAATTAAAAATGTCTTAAAAACTTATTAAGATAACTAAAAACGTATTATAAGCACTTTTAGATATGAGGCTTTACCATTTGGTTCTATAAAATTAAGACCAATAAAGCGATCTATTAGGACACTTAGATATTGTTGGAATCATATATACCCGATTTTGTTTTAGTGAAACTTATTAACACATTTACAGATGACGCATAAGTGTTTAGTCGTATAAGTTAAATTAGGACGATAAGATTAGACATTTTTTACATGTTATGAACCCAATTTCGTTGTGATGTTTTCAACTAAACAGATTAAGTTCACTGACCAAATAAGTCTGCAGTGATCAAATTATTCAGAAGCAACACACCATCCAAGCCTTTTGTCGGGTCGAACAGATCCTTCGGAGTCTTGTTGTAGAGATAGTGAACCATACGCTTTTTACCATACATCGAGGCCACAATCACAGGAAGCGAACTTTCTTCGGTGTCTCCTCTTTTTATGTTAACTAACTTGCTATTCTTTTGCACCATGGCCATAGCCAGTTTCGTGTCTTCGGTTATAGCAACTAGAGAGAGAGGGGTGGCACCAAACTCATTAGCCATTTCTAGTCCTTCTGGGGGCATTCTCTTCACCAATTCTAGTGCCATCTTCATATGTCCATGGAGGATTGCAACATGAAGAGCTGTATCTCTATGAGAAGACACAATTGCTGTACTAGCACCAGGATCATTCGTAAGGATATCATGCACTTCTCCGGTTATATCCTTCACTACAGCACTGTATAGGTTTCCATATCGAAGGTGCTCTTTAACCTCTATCAACATTCCAATACTTTCTTTAGAATAATGCAAGAATCAAACTATTTTTACTACAAAAAACTAACAAAGTTACCAAGTATAACTACAATAAAATGGGTCTTCTAGGATGCATTTACGTCTTAATATATAGATTACTTAACGGGATATTAAGTTTATGGGGCCAAAAAATTACGTCCTCTAAAGGCATTACAATAAGTAACAGGCGACGTTATAAGTTCTATCTATGATGTTTGGCATAACTACGTTGCAAAAACTACGCCCTAACAACTCGTTCTAATGCTTTTAGATATGGCAGGGTTCTTGATCTTAATAATTTAAAGTCTCGTTAAGTACTCCATTTGGGTGTCCTAAACGACCAATTTTGTTGTAGTATTTACTTTTGATGTCCTAATAAGTTGTTTAACTTGGTAGATAAACCTAACGATACTCGTCTAACTTCGCACTAACGACTTTTTTGTAGCACCTCTAGATATGACACGGTTCTGAATCATATAAACTTAAACTTTCATTAAGTACTCTGGACGTTGAAGGACGGTTGGGAGTCCTAAAAGACCAATTTCGTTACAGTACATGTGTTGTACCTGATACATCTTGGTCATTGGTGACTTGTGTATGGTGAGATGGGGTAGTGAGATGCATCTCGGCCAGGTGATCCCAAGCAAATTTAGCCGAAACATGCGTCTTCTTCTTGTACTTGGAGTAAGCGCGCGATCCACAGGCGAGTTGAATCGCATGTAAAGCCTGAGCATTCTTCTGTTGCCATTCTGGCTTAGCCTCTTCTTTGGATGTAGGTTCTGTGGAGACAACATCCCATAGGCCTTGACCAACCAGATAACTTTTTAAGCATACTTTCCAAAACTCGTAGTTTTCTTCTTTGAGTTCTTCGGATACAATCCCAATCATAGCCATAGCTTAATTGCTTGCTTGCTTGCCTGCTTTCATAAGTTCCACAAAAAGTATATCATGAGTAACTGTTATAAATATGTTGTCCCTCTTGTCCACCAATTACGCAAAGCCACATCATCATTTTTTGATGAGGGCAGAGAAGAAGAAGATGAACTAAACATTAGCTTTTGAGACAGCTGATTTTTATTTGGTTCTAACACAGATATTAAAGCATGTATATGACAATCCATTTGTCTTCCTAGTTTCTCTGAAACTTAGAAAACCCACAAAAGAATATCACGGTTCATTACTAGTAGAATAGAAAAGATGGATCATATATATATATATCGTTTTCCAAAGAAAGATATCAATGGTCTAAAGTAGTGAAGACAGTAAACTTACTTGGTTTCCTAGTTTCTTGAAGGTTCACTTTGTTTATAGTTTATAGGAATAGAAGTATGTATATATATATACAGTAGCAAGAAGCATTTAAGGAGACAAAAGTGAAAGGAGGTGACGTTAACCTCTTCCCAAGTAATTCAATTCTTATGAGCAAGCTTAATAAGGATTCTTTATTGTATTTCAAGATTTCTTTTTATGAGATATTCGATAGAACATGAGACACTGATCAAATATGTAAAGTGCAAGAAGCAAGCAAAGATATCATTCTTCTTTTATTGGTTTCTATATATAGTTGCCATTTATAATTAGAATACTTGGGAACAAAATAAAAGAGGAGAAAAATATTAACAATTATGAGAATTAGTTTTATGTGAAATATATAGTGTTGTTTTATATATGATTATTTCAGACAGAACTGTTTTACATTTGAAACAGAACATGTTCATAAGTTTCATATATATATATATATATATATATATATATGGTTGGGTTCATGTGAGACCAAGAGTTTTTCGTGAGACCCGTAAGATCAATTTATGTTCATTGATCAACTTTTTAAGCTAACAATCTAATGGTCTAAAGTTGCGCGGTGGCAATTTTGTGATTATGAATGTTTAGATTGTAGATCTAATCCAAGGGTTGAGAATTGGTCTTACGGATCTCACGAAAAATCTTTGGTCTCACATAATCCCAAGTCAATCTATATATGAAACAAGACACATATATAAATAATAATACCATATTGAATCCTACCACTATAAAAAAAATCAAGTTTTGTTGCTAGTTCGTTAAAAATGCATAAGTGTTCTAATAGATAGTTTTATAAAATTTAAGTTTAAAGGACCAAACAATTGTGCATCATATCATTCTATGTCCATGTGTTACAATAAGTTTATAAAACGCTTTAAGACATCTTAGCAATTTTTTGGAACATTTTTTAAATGAAACGTGCTATTAGTTTTTTATATGACATTATTTGGAGGGGAAAAAATGTCTTATAAAACCAAGTATCCTATAAACACCAGACAACTTGGTCGGTCTTGTCCATTCACGCCCCCTTGTCCTGTCCAGTCAATAGTTCTGTCATATATGCATACCAAACGCTATCTTAAAGAATGTGTTCATGAGACACTTCTCCAAATTATCGTGTGAAAAACTAATATGACATTTTATTTTAGAAGTGTTGTATGAACCCATTTTTTATAAGACATTTATTTTTATAGATAACTCTTTCAGATTGTGTCATGTAAAAAAAATTAATAAGACGGTTTATTTCAAAATCTACTAAAAGACTTATTATGATGTCTAAAATCGTCCTATAAACTTATTGTAATGTTTTTAGATATATAGTTTTATTGTTTAGTCGTATAAACTTAAATCCTATAAAACAGTCTATTAGAACAGTTAGGGTCGTTTACCAAACACTTACCGAGTAAATGCTTACTTAAATGCAAGAGTTACCGTCTTTATTCATCTTAATGGATAATATTGTCGACCATTAAAATAGATTGTTGTTGAGCATCTTTGACCCGGTAAGCTTTTACCAGGTAAGAGTCATATCCCTCACTTACTGTGTAAGATCATTGATTTTTCTCTTGCCTTTACCGAGTAAGATTTCCGTTATTTGCCATACACCAAGTAGGGTAAGTCACACCCGATAAACGCTTACCCGATAAGTATTTGGTAAATGACAGCTTAAGACATTTTTAACGTCCTATAAACTCAAATTTGTTGTAGTATCATTGAGCCCGCAACCAATCACCGGAAACTTTCAAGGTCTATATCATGTGTAGTTTCTCTAGCATCCTCTAGAATGACTATAGTCATATTTTCGTTACATATCAGTACTAAAATTCACAATCTGAACATGTTTGACAATCATAACCTAACTTAATAAGAAAACTTATTTTTTAAGCTTATTGAAAAAACTCCATTTAGCTAGTCGTAAATTAGCTTTTTGAAAAGCTACTTCAATTAAACATCATTTCAATAAGCTCTATAGGATTTTTCTTTCAATTTATGCCCTTCATATATATTTTTCTAATTAAATTTTCAACATGTTTTTTTAAATCATTTTATATTATCAACTAGTTTTTGTGTTAACAACGATATTTTCAATCAGCAACTATTTTGTCAAACATAACTTTAAAAGTTATAAACATAATTAAGGGGTCGTTTACCAAACACTTACCCAGTAAGTGCTTACCGGTAAAATTTAACATTATTATTTACATACCGGATAAAATTTTAGTCCACCAAAACGACATCGTATTCAATAATTTACCCGGTAAGCGCTTACTGTGGTAAGATTCGTCGCCGTTACTTACTGGGTAAGATTCATGGTCCTTGTCTCGCTCTTACCGGGTAAGATTATTGGTCCTTACCATATTCATTAGATGAGATAACATGACTTGGTAAGCACTTGCTCGGATAAATGTTTGATAAACGGGCACTAATTTATCAGACGACTTCATTTGATTAATAGAATTCCATGGGTAACACATGAAAATAAAGTCTTAAAAGAAACACCCATTCTTTTCTTTTTCCTTTAATTGATACCTAAGAATGGAAGGCAGCAACTACTTATTCTATGGATTAATTGGTTCTCGTTTCATTTCACGTTTATTATTCTCATTAATGTTCATTGCTATATACAAACGTTTTCATACGAGAACAGTAACCAAATAATAATAAAAACGATCGAATCATATATGATTTCACACTAAAATCACATGTGATTCATGTGACTTGGTCATCCGTTTATCCTTGCATTGATCGTGTTTTGTAATCACAAGTAAAATCATCTTTATTCACATGTGATTTAGCTATTTTCTTGTTATCTTATTTTGAACATGTTCTCGTTTAAGCATCCCTCAACAAACATAAAGCATTAAATGCGTGATGTTATATTATTCTCTTATTGCATAGTGACGTGTGTATTCAAACGGTATTGGTTAAGGTCGTATATATCATTGTAATAAATTTGAGTTTATAAGACACTAATACCATGCAAGCGTTCTAATGTATTATTTTATATGATTTAAGTTTATAGGATCAAACAATTGTATGTCTTGTATAAAAGTGTTAAAATAAATTTATAGGATAATTTTTAACGTCTTAACAAAGTTTTTTTTAGGACAAATTAATTATGTTTTATTATTTCAAAAATGTCTTACAAAAAACATATGTCTAATAAAAAGATGTGTTTATAGAGCACTACTCTAAAGTATTTGTAAAAAACAAATAAGACACAATTTTTGAAAAAAGTCATAAAAACTTGTTAAAACGTCTTATAAACTTATTGTAATATTTTAATGTAGAATTTACAATTATTTGGTTCTATAAACGTAAGTCTTATAAAATAAGTCTATTATTACGGTACTCAGATATTTTTTAGTCCTATATAACCCAATTTTATGAGATGGATACTTTCACGCCGGTTCAAGCCCACTGCTAATTTTACCACAAATGGTTGTGGGGAGTAGGGGAATAAACGAGTAAATTTGAGATGAGTAGGGGTTATTCGAGTCCGACTTGAAAAATTAATACCAGGTAAGCTCGACTCGAGTGCGAATAACATTTTCAAGATAGGGCTCGAGGTCGAATATTTTTTGAATTCTCGAGCTCGATACTTGTTTATCGGTTCAAACTCACGATCGATTGACTCGTTTATTTGCTTGAACTCTATTAATTTTATATTTTTATTGTATAATTAATTAATGAGCATATGAGCATGTTTGTTTTGGAAAAATGTATGCTCGAATGGCTCAGCTCGACTCGACAAATTTAATCGAGAATTGAAACAAGCCGAGTTGAACATTCATGTTAGAAACCTCAGCTCGTTAAGTTATATGAGCTTTATTTTATATCTGAGATCGACTCGAGCTCGTACATTGGGCTCGAGTAACTCGTTAAAAGCTCAAATTGTTTACACTTTACACCCCTAATGGGGAGGAGGAGGGCGGGAGGGGATTATTAGAGATGAAGATCGAAGAAGAAATCAAACACAGATAGACATGCAATGTAATCAAAAGCGAGTTAGAGTCGCGCCTAAGGTAGCATTTGGTTTACATATATATAAATTATAGAGACAATCATGAGGAGTATTACTTTTGTGTTCTATTGTGAAAGTAGAGTTGTGGGCAATAGTTTTACAATGGTTGTTAAAAGACTCTAAACAATGTAAAATTGGACCTAAAATTTTGAAAAAACTGTTCAAAATTAAACATTTAACATGCTAACGAAAAATCATGATTTGAAGTTCAACATTCAACTGTAACGGGGTTTGAGGTTCGAACCACTTTAAATCACGATCAAACTTGCTGTTTGCTTGCATGCTTAAACGTTTCGAAAACATGTCCTAGGCCATGGTTCCCCTTTAGGGTTTTGTATACATTTCTCGTTTTTCTAGGGTTTGGAGATTGTGGTTAATTTAGGGTTTATCCTTTAGGGTTTATTTCTCATTTTCTTTATAATATTGGTGGAGATCTTACGATTGTTTATGTCTTTTGAAATAATTACGTACTCAAGAAGATCAGAAAGATCAACCAATCGAGTTCATTAATTGTAACACAACTCCTTAGGAAGATATAGGGTTAACAAACATAGACTGTTCAATTCATAATTCAAGATTCAACTCACTCATCATGTTCTTTATTTCAAGCATTAAAACTAAAACCTGCACCCACTATTCAAGATTCAAATCACTTGGTGTTCTTTATTTCAAGCATTAAAACCTGCAATTGATCATAATGATCAAGATTGAAGATATCAGACATGAGGGCCTAAGAGCATAACCGGTTGTGGTAGAGGCGCGCCACCACAATAACCTCGTAAAATGTCACCTTCTTCGGAAGTGAACCCGAGAGAAGTAAGCATGGATGGCCAGCAGCCGTAAGTGATGATCCGAATGGCTCTACAACACTCCATCGTCAAGTAACTGTCGCCGTTGAGAAAGAACAGTATGATTTCGTTCGTACATGATTTCAATTCCAGTAATGCATTCCAACACTCCATTAGCCCACCTACGCCATTCTTTTCTCCCTGAACCCTCACCACCGGGCCTTGGCCAGGCTCGATCACATGCATTTTCCGAGCCGTTGAACCGACTTCAAAGGTCATGATCATAAGGCATGATAGTAGTAGTAGTGTGATGGGAAGAACCCTAACAAAAGCCATGAGTTAGGGAATCAACTATGCAATGTAGGGTTCTTCTGTGTATGATATGATGAACTGCATGTGAGAGTGCATACATAGAGGTGTTATATATACAGGTATAAGAGAATCATTTAATTATATGAATAAATACTTGACTAATTATGAAAGATTTATTGAACGATTTAATGAAAGAAACCCAAAGGATTCTATCATCATAATTCTAGAACGGGACAAATTAAGTCTTTTTTTCATGGAGATTGATTATTATTTATAAAATCTTTTTATTTTTTTTATTAACATGGATATCCAACCCGTTATGCGAGCCGACCAATCACAGAGCGACCATTTGCTTTGCAAATAGTCCGGAGTCATTGCATTTGAATCTCCGCGGCCACAAGAGGATTTTTATTCCTTCTTGGATTTGAACCTGAGACCTCCCGGTATTTTTGAACTTTGGAACCAAGTTCAAACCAATCAAACACCACCATTATGGTTAAATCTTTTTTACTTTAACAACTATGTTAAAGTATACTATGCTAAAATTGAGGAAAAATAAAGACAGACATCTGTAGAACTTAATACTGAGAAAATGTATATGTTATTTTAATTGTTTAGACCAATGAGATCGAATGTATTACCGTATATTTAGAAGTGTATTGAGATGATGAATTTATAGAATATTTTAATAATGTAATTAATTGTTAAAATCTTTTTCGTCTTCTGTCAACAACGATTTTACAGGGGCAGTTTTGGATTAGTCTTTTTTCCAGCTCTAGATGGATTCCAAATGGCTGCAACTCTTCTTTCATTTGCATTATTCCCAAGACTGCTGATAAAACTATTGACAAGGCTCTTGCTAATAGAATTAATTAGTTGTGTTATTAACTCTAGTCAGTGACTCGCAATCTACTTTTATAAAAGGAAGATACATCCTCCATGGTGTGCAAATGAGACTTTCAATTAGGCTAAAAAGAGTACAAAACAGGTTCTTCTTATTAAAGTCGATTTCAAGAAGGCGTATGATACGGTGGACTCGAGGTATTTGAATGAGATTCTTGAGGCTATGGGATTCTCAAGGAAGTGGAGGAGATGGGTGCAGGTGTGTCTTTGTTCGGCTTCCACTTCGGTCCTTATCAATGGGTCCCTAACTTCGGAGTTTCGGTTACGGAGAGGTTTCAAGGGGATCCGTTATCCCCTTTCCTATTTTGTTGTCATGGAAGGACTACATTTGCTTATGACCTAGGCCCGGAATAAAAATTTGATTAAAGGCTTGGAGGCTGGAAATGACAGATTTAACATTACTCGTCTTTTTTATGCGGATGGCGCGCTTTTTATTAATGATTGGTTTGTCGAAGAAAGGAGGAACATTCTGCAGATCCTGATATGCTTCTTTTAACTGCTGGGCTTCGTCTAAATCTGGCTAAAAGTGAACTTCTTGGAGTGGGTTTGGAGGAGGATACAGTCAATATGTCTGCTATAGAGTTACATTGTAAAGCGGGATGACTTCCAAGTAAATATCTCAAGGTCCCTTTTGATGCAAACATGTCTAAGGTCGTAGCCTGGGATCCAATTATTGAAAGATTCCAAAAAAGATTATCCAGATGGAAAGCAAAAATCTTTTCGATTGGAGGGAGAGGGATGCTGGTTCAAGTTATGCTTGGTAGTATAGCCATGTATTATCTTTCGATCTTTAAAGCTCCTAAGACAGTTACTGATTATATGGAGAGAATTCGGAGAGAGTTTTTATGGGGCTCAGAAGATGATAACAGAAAAATAGCCTGGTTTAAATGGAGTACAGTGCTTAGAGATAAAGAAAGTGAGGCCTCGGTATCAGAAGCATTTTTGCTTCTAATATTTATCTACTTGTTAAGTGGACATGGAAATTTAGGAGCGATTAAAACTCCTTCCGGATGAAACTAATTAAATAGATTTATGGTGAAAGAGGTGGTTTAACCTTGGATCAGGGTATCTCGAGCAATTGCAGCCCATGGGGTAGTATAGTATTGTCTCTGTTGTGAAATCGTTAGGGCTACTGAACATTAATTTTGCAGATTTATGTTTGAAAGAGGTTGGGAAGGGATTAAATGCTTTGTTCTTTTCTTCCCGTTTTCATAGGCTCTTCTCCTTAGAAAAAGAGAAGTTGGCAGTTGTTGCTGACCGTATCAAGGTTGGAGTTAATTATTGGTCGTGGTGTAGACCTATCCAGACAATAGAGAATCTAAAGAATTCGATCAACACCGGAAATGCTCATTGTCTGATAATCCTGATAGATGGATTTGGTCTTTAAATTCTAATGGTCTTTTTTCTGTTAGCTCTTTGCATATCATTGTTGAGAAAGCTTTCTTGGGTGTCGGTGATAGGGAGACGATCTGGAATACATAGGTTCCTTCTAGAGTCAACATTTTCATTTGGCAGGTTATGTTAAATAGGCTCCCATCTTGTGACAATTTATTCAAGTTGAATGTGGATCTCGATTCTATCCTTTGTCCGCCTTGTGGTTCTAATTTTGAAATTACCCAGCACCTATTGTTCGAGTCATCAGTGTCTTCTAAGGTTTGGCGGTTCATTCAGAGATGGTGGTCCTTTTCATTTCCTACTTACATGTTGTTGGTATAATATTTGTCGTGTATGTTTACATATACATATATATATATATATGTATATATATATATATATATATGTGTATATATATATATGTATATATATATGTATATGTAAACATACACGACGGATATTATAATTCTTCCCCCCAAAAGAGAAGATTGTGTCCTCAAAATCAAGCTAAAACATAAATACATAAAGGTAACACTTACAAATTTTCGAAAAGATGAGGATATTCCGAACGTAGTGACTCGTCCATCTCCCAAATGGTCTCACGTTGCGGGTGATTTTTCCACAACACTTTGACTAACGGTATGGTTTTCTTTCTCATAACTCGCTCCCGTTTGTCTAATACAACTTCAGGTTCTTCTTTGAACGAAAGATCCTCATGGATTTTATCTAGCAGAGATTACACCACATGCAATGGATGATAATAGTAGTCTTGAGGTGTTGAAACATGAAACACATTATGCACATGAAATAGCTGAGGTGGAAGTGCTAAATGATAAGCAACTTCACTGACCCTTTCCAAAATATTGAATGGACCGATGTACCTTAGACTTAGTTTTCCTTTAAGGCCAAACCGTCAGGCACCTCAAAAAGGAGAAACCTTAAGGAACACATTGTTGATCCTCTCTCTCAGTGATTTGATGATAATCCATTTTATCCTATGCAAAATATTTTTGTTTCTGTCTTTTCAGTTCCAGCGATCTGCACTAGTTTGTTCAGTGATCGCTGAAGAACTTGTATTGTAAATCATATCAGCGACAGCGTAACTTCAAGAAGACAACACTCACACTAAAGAACCTTCAGCCAATGTCGAAGACTGAAACTGAAGATTAGAGACTGGCGAGTACGTGATCTGAAGCGGTATTCAATGATTATGAGCATGTCTACATATGTGTGAAGACTGCCCAAGCCTCAGCGAATGCTGAAGAGACCTTCAGGTTATTCTAGCATTCAGCGATCAAATGAAGCTTGCTAAGCACGATTGTTGTTGTCTTGTCCTTATACACACAAAGGACAAACCCATACCCTTTCTAAATGTTAGTACGGTACGGAGCCGATTAGTTGACTCTATTATCCACCAACTTTATGAAAGGATGTCTGCTCATGAATAGGCTTTTGTACTATTTACTGTAGCAAATGACAAGCCTTTCCCTTAAGGCTTGACACGCGTTCTAACCCTACCACATTGCATTAAATGTGCATTTAATGCAACGGGTATAAATAGATGTGTTCTATCTTCATGCAGATATACTCTTAACATAAACCTTACTCTGAGCTCTCTTGCGCTTAAGTAAAAGAACACACATCTAAGAACAAATACGCTCATCTTCAAGAGCAAGTTAGAATCTCTTTCATTGTATTCTAAACAAGTTCTCTCCCAGATAGAACTTACTTTCTTCTATTTCTTTAACAGCAAATCTTTTCTTATTTGCTAAGATTAAATGTGTAAACTTAAGATTGTTTAGATAGGTTTTTCTTACCTTATCTTTCCGCAAATAGTCTTGTAAAATCTATATTGATCTTCTTTTATCAATATATATTTTAAATTTGAAAATATTGTGTTTGTATTCATCCCCTCCCCCCCCCCTTCTACAAACTGTTATACACATCTTATAGACCCTAACGAGACCAACACACATGATCTCCCATACATTTTTTACGTGATTGAGCTTATTTCCATTTTTCCTTAGCTACTGCCACATTTTCATTAGTGACTCTAAAAAGTTTTGACCCTTCAATAACAGTCTCATCAGCCTCATTCTAACACAACCGGTGCCCAGCATCTCCAGCCATACAGAGCCTCGAAGAGGGCCATGCCAATGCTTTCTTGCTATCTATTATTATATGCAAACTCTACTAAACATCGGTACTCGTCCCAACTTCTGGACCATTCCAAAGTACACGATCTCGATATATCCTCCAAAGTTTGAATTGTCCGCTCGGATTGTCCATCCACTTGAGGGTGGAAAGCCGTACTGAACTTAATTCTGGTGCCCATGCATTCTTAAAACCTTTCAAAAATCGTGAAGTAAATCGAGGATATCTGTCAGATACAATCGATACTAGTGTGCCATGAAGCCTGATGATCTCTCGTTGAAAGAGTTTTGATAACTTACTGACTAAATACCCTTCTTGAATAGGAAAAAAGTGAGCTGACTTAGTCAATCAACCACAACCCAAATGGCATTATTCTTCCTAAGCGTCTTCAGTAACCGAGTTACAAAGTCCATTGAGATATCCACTCACTTTCATATTGGGATTTCTAATGGTTGTAGGAATCTACTTGCTCTTGGGCGCTCGATTTTTACCTTCTGGCAAGTAAGACATCTCGGTACAAAGCTAGCCACGTCTTGCTTCATTCCATTCCACCAAAAAATTTGCTTCAGGTCTCCCTTAGAATGCCTAAAACT